TTACATACGAAAATAAACTTCTGTATCCATTCCAATCTAAATTTATTGTTGATATTGAGCGTACAATATATGAATAATGTGCTATGCGTTAAAATAAAAATTATTTATACTATATCTTTCCTAATATTTAAAGAAACTGTTTATAATCTATAAAATTTATATCCAACACCACCAGTTGATAAGGATAAAATAATAACAATAATTCCTAATTTAAACGTCTCTTAAATATTAATAAAAACTTTCTATTTCTTAATTATCAATGCATCAACAGAAACTTCAGTCATCACTGCCATGTAAACGATAAGAGAGTTATCATCCCATCATAATGATCATTGTATCCAAGATTTTTCACAGAAATCCTCCTCATCCTGCCCTCCTCCTATCCTCGGCTACAGTCTGAAGTGGGGGGTGGGGTGGGAGGAGTGGAAGCGCTCGCTTATCAGGATAATATATCGTGCTTTCAGGGATTTAAATATATGACAAATTTACACAATAATTATTTTTGGGCCAAACGTGTAACGGTACTAGACAAATATAAAATAATTCAAGGCTCCCAGAGGTGGTAAAAAGTACATAAAAGTACAAAGCATTTATGTTTAGAACCCATTGGAGAGGCCCTAAATATATGCGGAAAGAAAAAATATAAAACAATTATGTTGGGGCCAAACATACCATGGTACTGCAGAAATAAAAAATAATAATATTCTTGGCCTTTCGAGAACACCTTAAACATTATACGTACAAAGCATTTATGTTGAGGGTCCATCAGAGAGGCTCCAAAATATGCGGAAATAAACAATACAAAACAATTAATTTTATTAACAATTATTAACATACCAATGTTTACCCCAATCATTCTACACTGACAAAAATACTAAATAATAATATTCGTGGCCTTCTGAGTAGTTCCCTAATCATTCTCCGGTGATAAAAAAGTACAAAAAATTGGTTGATGGCACATCGGAGGGACCCCAAAAATTTTCGGAAATAATCGGATACAAAACAATTATTTTTTATATTATAGAAGAATGATTATGGAAGCAGCTCTGTGGCCTGCTGCTTACTGTATCGCCTCTACACAGGCATAACTCTGTCAGAAAACCACATCTATGTTATTCCACAAGCTTAAATTATATTATGTACCACACTTAAACTATTTTATACTTCACTAAAATACAAGACTCTGTAACATTGTTTGATCAACAAACACGTTTTATTTTCAAGCCTTGCTATTTTTAAATACTGCTCTCCAAATCAAAAATATAACTTTTCACATGAACTGAATACTTCACACAAGTTAAATTATTATTTCAACACACCAACTTTGGATTCTTTGGATATTTTTTATTTTAGTTATAATTTTTATTTTTAATCTATATAACCCAAGTAGTAAAAACATTCCAAACCACAATGTAAATTTTAACAGATAGTAAACTTTAAAAACCCATGATTAGGTAAGAATGGTACATAAAATAAAACTTATAGATAATTTAAAAAGTGACATTTATATATAATATGTAATAAATTACAGGAAAATGTTAATCAAAAAGATTTTTAAAATTTAAACGTAATGGTTGATATTGTGTGTTAATCTACAGAAATAAAAACGAACATGAAAAAGAGTTAAAACTAAATATCATGATTTTAGAAGGCGGGAGATGTTGGAGTAGACTGATGCAATTGTTTCTTTGTCAACTTTATGGTTAACGGTTTTTTTTTTTTTTCAAGGTGGATAAATATTTATTCGGGGATCATGCGATTTTCATGATTAGTAACCGTTGCGAGGACGGATGGGTTGTGCAAATCAGATGAATGGTCAAGGCTTGTACTATGTTCAGGCAATTTTGATGCAAATGTGTTCCTGGCTGAAGTACTATATTTATGTTGGGTTATACGTTTTTAAGTTAATTTATGGTCTCGCCAATGTAACAGGAATTACAATAAGGAGTTGAACAAGGGATGCTGAAAACTAAATTGGATTTTTGTAGGAAAGGTATTGGATCTTTTAGGTTGCTAAATAAGGTTTTAAGGTTGTGATAACATTTGAAAATAAGGTTTCTAACATACGCATTATTTTCAAAAATAATCACAAACTCAAAACCTTATATAGCAATCTAAAAGATTCCATCCATACCTCTTTTATAAAAATCCAATTTAGTTTACCGCATCCCTTGTTCAACTTCATCGTAAATAGTATAGGGAGTATAGAGCGTATAGTATAGGGAGTATAGAGTATAGAGAATATATTATAGGGAGTATACAGAGTATACTATAGGGGGTATAGGTGGGCGGGGTGGCCGAATGGGCTAAAGCGTGTACACTGCACCGCCGTTGCCCGGCAACCTGATATGTGACTCAATGATAAAAAAAATAGTCACGAGTTCGCGTCCCGGTGCCGGGGGAGTCTTAAATCCCCGCTCAGACCCCTTGGCTCGGGAAAACCCCGTATAGACTTAACGGCAAAGAAGGGGAGGATCCAGAAAAAAAAAAAGTAATCCGAGGAAAAGTAACAAGTAAAAATAACAGTTAACTTTCAACAGCTAAAACTCGCAAAGGTAACCGTAGAGAGCGTGGCTAACCTCACCTCTATCCGATATATCATTTCCAAAAGGTGTTATTTTGTCGGTACGCCCTCATTTTGAAGATATTCTGCTCCTTCTCAGGCGAAAAATAGTCCTGTCCCTCCGAAATATCCGGGAAAAAAGTTATGGAACAAAAGAAACTTTTTTTGCGAATAACTCAAAAAAACATGTATTTTTCTCTCTATTGTACCCATGATAATTAGAAAGATTACTAAATTAGCTACAACACAAAGAAAAACTGGTAAAAATCGTTTATAAATTTATATAGTATAATTTAACGAAAGGAGTAAACTGTGTTGAAAGATTTTTTCTTAGGAGAAACAGAATTGAGATTTGTATTTCGCTCGAAAGACCCTCGAATACGAATTTACATTGGGATCGAAAAATATATATATTTTTTTTTATTTGAACTAAGGCTCCCCCTTTGGTTTTATTTCGAAAAATATAAAAAGTGTTATAACTTCAATATGCTTCCACCTATTCACCCGAAAATTTCTAGGGATGTAGGGCCTTATAAACTATACGAGATGACACAAATTGCGCCTTCCTAAATTATTAAGAACTCAAGTTATAAAATAAAAACCTGTTAAGAGTTTTTATTTATTTCCTCTTTATAGATGTGTTAAATCAAAATGTTATTAATACGGTCTTGAAGGGGGATAACTCAGCTTTCCAACGGTTGTAAAAACATTGAATTAGGATAAAATCCTGAGCAGTTACGAATGTTTTACTTAAAGGCAGGCAGAAACATCATAAGAATATGTGAAGTCGTCGCCATGACGACTATCTCAGCACAGCTCTTTTATCCTATATATTATTTCTAAAAGGTATTTTTTTGTCGGTACGCCATAACTTGGTCAATTCTCCATCAAATCCAATGATTGACCACTCATTTTGAAGATATTCTGCTCCTTCTCAGGCGAAAAATAGTCCTATGCCTTCGAAATTTCCGGGGGGAAAAGTTATGATGGAAAAGAAACTTTATTTGCGAATAACTCAAAAAGTATGTATTTTTCTCTCTGTTGTACCCATGATAATTAGAAACATTACTAAATTATCTACAAAACAAAAAAAATCGTAAAATTCGGACAATTATTAACAAAGATACAGTCCATTAGTTTTGATATACCCAATAATATCTTCCTGTTTAAAGATATTGCCTTTAGGAGTAGAATAGTCTACTAAACTTTTTTTGCTGGCTTTTATATTAACTTTATTATTTCTTAAAGACATTTGGTTGCTATTAAATTATATATATTTTTTAAATAATTTAGAATATCCTATGAACGGGGCATTATTTTGGTTTTATTACTTTTATTATCTTTCCAGTCAGCGTTTAAAAATAGGTCCTAGCAAAGCAATTTCTATAAATATTTTGGTCTATTATGTTTAATGGAATATTGTAATCGACTAAGGAAAAAATATTAATTTGATTCCTTCCTTACATAATACATAGGAACTGCTTATTTCCATATTGTTTTAATATTTCTTCACTAAACAAAATTATCTGCGAATTTTTCGCACTGGCCAACTGGTTATACATGTTGTTGATACAAACTTTACGAAAAATGTTGTTAAACTAGCGGGGGAGGAGTTAAGATCCGAAATGCAACGGGATTAGCCACAATACCATTTCATACTTGAACCTACTAGACTCAAATAATGACACCAAATGTTTAATTAATTTTGTTTTACATTATTATTATTTTGGTCGTTTGAACAAAATAGATTTGTTCATTTGATTCATTGAATACTTATTCAAGTGATAAGTTGCAATAATTCTACCCCGCTCACACTTAGCTTATACACGGTGTTTCAGGGTTAAGTGGCCAAACTGCAAAAGTGAGCTAACGACCTCGAAACAAGAAAATAATTTACGCCGAAGATATGTCCGCAAACGCTTTGTTTATGTGATATTCATACCAAAAGATTTTCCTTGTTGTGAATTGTTTACGTTATATGAAATAAATGAAACCTATTTTATTAATTAGTCCGAGTTAATGACCTTAATTCCTTACGAAGAATGATAATTGAATCTTGTGAAACAATAACACATATCCAGTGCCGTTCTGCCACTGCTACTGTTGAAGAAAGATGTCGAGCCTGTCTTAATTCTCAAGAACATCACTTTGAACAACATTTAATATGAATTTAATGTTTACGTTTAATTAATAAACTAGTTGTAACAAATAAATAATTTTTATTTACTTAATATAACGTAAATAATTCATATCAATGAAAATCTTTAGGTGTGAATATCTCCTAAACAAAGTGTTTGCGGACATATCTTCAGAGGAAATTTTTTTCTTGTTTTGAGGTCCTAAGTTCATATTCTCAGTTTGACCACTTTACCCTGAAAAATGCTAAACATACATATATAATATATATATATATATATATATATATTATATATATTATATATATATATATATATATATATATATATAAACCATTTAATTTCGATTATGATTAGTGAAGACATAGACAAACACTGTTGCATATAACATTCCACCGAAAGCGGTTTCAAAATTCATGAAAAGGGATAGATCGATATTGTAAAACTTTGATTTAATATATTTAAGAAAACTTTATAGAGTTTTAAATTAGATTAATCTCTATATCAACCACACTTTTGTTGGCCTTGAAGATAAAATCCTTTGCAACAGCATGGGTTAGTAGGGCAGGTGTATGAGTAACCAGTGCAATCGCATGGAGGGTAATAACCCGGGCAGCAACATGGGTTTTGGGGGCAATACGGAGGGCACCCAGGGAAGCCAGGGCATGGTGGGGGGTAAACGCGGCACTTATCTTGCGGATGAGAAATATTTCTGTCAGTTTCATCAAACGTGTCATCATTTATTGAAGCGTAAGCAGGATAATATGGAGGGTAAGGAGGATAATAACGAGTATTATTTCCAGCTGCTTGAGAGCTAGCTTCAGTACCATTTGAGCCAATACTGGCATTTCCAGTAAAATGAGTGTTATTAATTCTGGTAGAATCAGGGTTGCTAGTGTTAAGGTCACGGTAGCTGATGCCTATTTGGGAGGGGTAATATTGAGAGTAATCACGTTCATTTCCTGGACCACTGGGCAAATATGGAAGATGATTCTGGTCAGGTGCAGACCTTTCAAGTCTTTCCCCAGGCCTATTAGATTTTTTTCCATAATTATTTCTTGGCTTCTCATCTATTTCTTCAGGATTATTATTTTTATTTGGATTTATCCTTAAAAGATCTGAAGTATTGAGAATTTCTGTGCCATCTCGAAAAACCACGTTAATCGTGGTATTAGATAAAACAACTGAAGATGAAAAATGTTCGTCATTATCTTCTCTATTTTCTTTTAATGTTTCATGAATCCTGCTTCTTCGCCTAGCTTCAGATTTCTCGGGTCTTCCCAATACTTTTTTGCAAAGCTTCGTTCCAGGCTGGCTTCCTAGAGAAGAAAAAATAAAAAATACTTCGTTTATAAAAGTGTTGATGGTTTATAAACTGTTTACTTACTTTCTACAGCTTGTTGGATCCAATCCATATAAGCAAATACATGAGTGTTGATTGATAGTTTAGAATCATTTCCACATGCTTTCGGTAAGAAGGACACTACAGCAACTTGAGTGAACCTTTCGGTGTGAGGATCCTTGTATACCAAACCAGCGCCTGGCTCACCCTCAAGTAACATATCAATCATTTACAATTTTTTACTAATTACGTCAATGTTCAAACCAATAAATCCCAATACCAAATTGATGCATGTTTTATATATATAGAAATATAAAATAGAAAAATCATCTTTATTCTGGGACTAGGTCCCTTTAGAATAACAGTATTGTTCATATATATTAACTATAAATCTGGTCAAAAGACTTATTACAATGAATAATAACAAAATACATGTAATACATTAAGTATTAATTAAGCTCTTAGGATAAATTAACGAGGACAGTTGGGTAATAGGGGTTCAGTACTACAATATTGGAACTAAAATAATTGCATAATAATCACTGAATGAAATTGGAAAGGAAAGTAAAATCTATTTTATAGGTGATGGAATTGTAGTGATGGAATATAAAAATAAAAAAAATAATAATAACTGTTAATATGTAGGGAAAGAAATTGTAAAAACTAAAATATATATAATATATATAACATAATAAATATATATATATATATATATATATATATATATATATATATATATATATATATATATATATATATATATTAGTTTTTACAATTTCTTTCCCTACATATTAACAGTTATTATTATTTTTTTTATTTTTATATTCCATCACTACAATTCCATCACCTATAAAATAGATTTTACTTTCCTTTCTAATTTCATTCAGTGAATATTATGCAATTATTTTAGTTCCAATATTGTAGTACTGAACCCCTATTACCCAACTGACCTATATATATATATATGAAATAATATATATATATATAACATCGCACAGTGGGCTGTTTTAACAACCTAGTAAGACAAAAGTCAAAACAGGCATCTAAATGAAAAATCACGAAATTGTTACGAAGTAGCTGATTATTATAAAGATGATAAAAATAATAATAATTGATGAAAATTTTACTTATTTCATTTTTCTGATGACTTTTATTTTAAATTAATTTTATATTAGTTCTTCTTTTTTAGATAAACAAGTATAAGATGTAATTAATTTTTAAGTAAAACCTAAAGTTTTTTTGCAGGCCACTTCAAATATCTTTATAATCATAAAATTTATTAGTGAAATTATTATGATTATTAATAAGTGAAAAAGTAATTAAATTTAAAATAAATTATACGTAAATATCATTAACCTTTGTATAGGTTATACCTATTTAGAAGCTGTTGCATGGAACTGAGCTCAACATTTTTCAAGTCCACGGAGCAATAGCTCCTGCATCTACTTCCAATGATGCCACTTTAAGACATTACTAAGAAAAATCATTCCTAGTTTTGCCTAAACTTAAAACGTGTAAATCAACAGTTAAAATCCCTGTAAGTGTCCTGCTAACCAGTTTTTTTATTTGGACATAATGATATGTATATATAACTGGTTTGAACCTAATTTTGAGAAATTCATCCAAATTTAGATGATTTTCTTGCTTCAAATAATTCTTAAGCATTTTGAATTGAATAAGTTAATTAAAATCATACAATATTTCGTTTTCATTTCTTCATATTGTATTTGTATCGCTTAAATGATTAGAAAGAGTGTTCGTTACAACAACAATTGTTTTGATTGAAATATTTAAAATTCAATTGCTTCCAAAGCCTGAAAAATCAGGATCTAAAAGTATTGAATATTTAACTAAAATGTTTCCCGGACCTGTAATTAGTTGAATATCGATGTGCAGGGAGATTCCTGGTTAGCAGTTGTAGGATTTTGAAATAACATTTTCAATATTTTTCACTCAAACTAATAAGAGTAGAATACTTTTTATCTGAAAAATAGTGAAACTTTTGTTTCCATTGATGTTTATATTGTAATGTATTCATACTGTTTAATTTGCAAAAATTAAATGAGATTACAGAATAATCACAATAATTACAAACAGAAGTTAAGCGTTTGTTTGTACGTATCAACTTTCAATGTTTTTTTATTAACTTTACTCATATTGTTTATTTTTAAACTAAGGAGATGTTTCGGGGTGGCGGTCATAAATAGGCTAAATCGTGGCAAAACTATTCTATTAAAAGCCAACGTTTCGACCCGACTTTGCAGATCTTCTTCAGGGAGGTGTGTTCAGCTGGGAGTTTCACAACTGGAGTTGGCCTTGTCCAGTTCTAAGTGAAACTCTTGGCTGAACACACACCTCCCTAAAGAAGACCTGCAAAGTCTGGTCGAAACGTTGGCTTTTAATAAAATAGTTTTGCCACTATTTAGCCTATTTATGACCGCCACCCCGGACCATCTCCTTCCTTTATAATGCAATGGTCAACTATTAATTATTCATTACCTATTTTTGTTTTGACTAATTCTCCTTTTCCTAATAGCACCGATATAAAGATATCTTTATAAGTTATTTTCCTCAAAAATATTCACTATAGATATTTCGCCTTTGGTACCGCAAGATTTACCTGTACCAGCTCATTGTGAATCTCCCCGACGCACTCACCGCAACGCGATAAAACGACCTCATTGTTTCCGATGTGAGTGGCTACAACTATGTGCTGACCATCGCACAGCCCCACAGTGAGGCGAGTAAGGAAAAGCCGACATTGGCTAAATCTTTTTTTTTTTTCATTGAACTATTCAACAAAAATAATGAAAAATGTATATTCTGCCAACTGAAAATATTCTCGGGAACTCCACTAGGTATCAATAAAACAGTTTATGTAGTTTTTAGAGTTCTAAAAAATAGGTTTATCCGATGTGGCATGTTTTCCCTTACTCGTCCCACTGTGCGCCCCTAGACACTCGCCCCGACTCTCGGAATTGCCTTGCCGGGCATTGCAGTCCGTTGCATTCAGGCCGGGGCGGCTCACTACAAACCCTAGACGAATTCAGGCAGGGTGTCTGAAATAATTTACTAATATTATAATAAAATAAATGATATATTGTAAAACTGCATAAGAATATAATAATTGGGACCTTTTATTAAAATAATGTAGATATTGATTGACACTAATTGAATAATGTTCTTTTTTTAAAAAAGAATGAAGGTTGCCTTATAATATTATATATAATATAAATGAAAATTTACATGTTTCTCTATTTTAATATTAAGGTTAGACAACTTTGTAAATTAATTTATTTTATTTGTCATTTAATTACTCATAATCGTCATTTCTTTGTTCATTATAGTTATTTTGAGGAGACTAAATGTCTCAGAACAAAATTAACTTTCTTTCATTACGTTAGTTATCTTACTTGTTTACTAGAGGAATTAATTTGTTTATTTATTGCTTTTGTTTCTATTTGTTTGATTTATTTTTATTTTATTTTTTTTTTAGCTAAACAGTGATTATTTTGTTTCATTTCTTATTTCCATTGTATATAGCTCTAAGCATTTTGTATTGAGTTTCACCAGTTTGTTTTTTATATTTTGTTAGTTTACATAAGATTTAATGTAGCTGTTCTTATTTATTGTAATTATCTTGACCAGAAGTATTTTTTGTTCCGTAACATTTTGTTATTCTCAAGGGACTTGGTCTCAAAATAGTCATTTCTCTATTATATTATATTTTATTATATATTATACCATATACCAGACAGAATGTCTGAATCCGTATAAAGTTTGTAAATACGCGGCCGGGTTTATAGAAATGTTGTTATAATATGTCATTTTCACAACTAATTATGCCAATTTATTGTTTATTGATATTAATATTATTATTTTCTTTTAATACTGTTAATATTTTATACTAATATAGTTAATATTTTATATCCATAGCAAACATTATTACTCTTATGGTATTACAAATATTTTTCTTTTTTTCGTTTATACACTACATTGCAAATATTACAAAAATCTTACAACAAGAATCACTTAAAAAACATATTTGGTAAAAAGTCATACAATTAAAATAACGCCAAATATTAGCAATTATATAAAATCTAAAACTCCCATCAAAACACATAACAATATCAACAAAAATAATAAATATATGTTGTTTTTTAAATATTAATTACGAATTATGTTTTAAAATTCAATTAAAAGATTATTCAAATGAACAAAGAAAGTAAACAAGAAATATGACCTGAACAGACTAGATTTTGCAATAATATTCCAGATTATCTCACCAATTCCCTAAAATTTGATATATTAGAAATGAAAAAATATAATTTTCTCATCTATAGTAGTTGGCTCAAATATTGATCTTGTATTTTCTCGTGAGGGTAATCCACATTAATAATATGGTATATTAGAAATTAGTTGGCATCAACAAATACTGGGAGATCTGACCATTGTTAAAGAAAAGACTCAAATGTTCACTATAAGCTGAGATATGCTTTGTTTTCTTGTCACCCTCCTGGAAATGTCTTTTATACATAGAAACTGAGATGGATCGATGATGTGGTGGAGGATTTGCAGAAGATGGGAATCGGACAATGAAAAAGCTCGCTGGATAGGGATAATTGGAGAGGTGTTGTTGTGGGGTTCTTGGTCTCTCTCCTGAGGGCTGTAGAGTCACAGATGTGAGTGATGATAATGACAGCATTGTAGTCACTGCCAAAGGCACCACATCAGATGACTACCACAGAAGGAAACTACTATATAGCTGCCCAGAAGAAGAACATCTTAGGGAAAGACCACTATAGGCGATTGATCGATGATGCAGATGAGCTCAGCCGTAGATGATCACATAAGAGAAAGCAGATAGAGGAGAACAGATGTTTAATTTATTAAGCTAATCTCTTCCATGGCTGTCAGGGATATTGACTTTAATCATGCTGTAGGGCACTGATTCTAATTTGATTGTCGTGGGCTGTATGCAAGGAGTTAATTGAACTATGGGGTTGGACAGATTGCTATATTTTATTTGTATTATAATTTGATTTATTAAAGCCGGATCTATTGCAATAAAGGATTAGAATATTAATAAATTTGGTCTACCTATTACAAACTATTCTGACTGAAGTGGATTAGGTGGTTGGTGGCTGAAAATTCATTAAATAGCTACTTGCTACTTCTGCTCCGTTTTCTCTCATCTCTCTCTCTTTCCTGTAGTGCTCAGGCTCTTGAGTTTCTACTATATTTCTCTTATAAAAAGGATGTACTGTTGAAATGAGAGCTGGACAGCTATGTCTACAGTCTCAAGTGGACTAGATTCTTCTAGGAGCTCTGCATATCTGGACTCTGTTCTTGTTGTTTACCTTACCTGCCAAGAGATGGCAGCAGTGATGCTTGATTCTTCAATAAATTCAAATCACTGAATTTAAATAAAGTGGGAACTTGGCTGTGTTCCTTTAACAACATCCATGGATAGAGAAGCCTGACAGAAGCTTGTTTATGAGGTCCATATCCTTTAAGGACTGTTTTGAGAAAATTAATAGAAATAATAAAGATATCCTCATCTACAAACAATTTATTTTAAATGTTTTATCTTGAAACATATAAAATTATATAGGAGTCTTTAATCTTTTCATGGAGTCCTTATCAAAGTATAAACAATAGCCTTTGGATTTTTTCATTAAAATATTAACAATAACACAGGACCTTTTAATCATTTCATGAAATCACTATTTTCATTTCGGTAGCATGCATCTCTTCACAGTTTCTTTAAACTTGGTCATTTTCCTTGTTTTTTTACTTTTTCTTAACTTTATTTATTTATTATTTTTTTTTTATAAAGAATCAAATTAATAGAATAACCTGAAAGATACTTACGATATAAGAGTCATTACCAAGAGCGTATGCACTAATCTGAGTTGTATCGTGGATCATTGACCTGCTTTCTTTACATTCTTCATTATTTATATCTTTCAGGTCCACTTCGTCATCATCTTTAATTTCAAGCAGACCTAAGCGGAAGATAAGTGTTAGTTTCACTTTATCATATCACTATATCATCCAGTGTATGGAAAACTATTTTTTTCCAATCAGCCACATTGAAGGGCATTACGTATTAGGGCTACACTCTCCATTCAATTATATTTAAATTTGAAAATAAATATAAAGAAAGAAAATGAAAAAGTAGATAAGATAAAGAGAATTAATAGAATAAAATAAAATAGAAAATAATTTAATTCTGGGACGAAGTCCCTTTAGAATAACAATAAAGTACAAAATTAAAATATTATATTTGGCCAAATGAAAACAAACATAAAAACTATAAATAAAGAGAAATAAGTAAAGAAAATATTAGTTATACATACCACATACAAAAAAAAAATCTTTTTTTTTTTTTTTTTATTTATTCATGATATTTACAACTGTATTAGTAAATAAAATACATTTAGTAAATTTGATAACAGAAAATAATAACATAAAATCACTTGTTGAGAAACTACCCACTGGTAGCACTCTAAAAACAAAATGTATTTACAATAAGAGATCTCGAGGCCATCTTCATTTCAGACGCCTCGGAGGGTTATCAGGAATAGAAGAGGAAGCAAGGTTAGAGACGAGAGGATGGTTCTGAAGTTTATTATGGAAGGGTTGGTATCTGGATTGGGCCAAATCGGAAACATAAGAAACATTAAGGTCATTATGAATTATTTTATTGGTGACAAAGTAAGGAGCATTGAGGATTTTCCGAAGGATTTTGGATTGTAAGGATTGGATACGAGAGGAATTCGATGGCTTAGTGGAGCCCCAAAGCTCAAATCCGTAAGTCCAAATAGGTCTTATTGTAGTCATGTATATGAGTATTTTGTACTTAACTGGTAGCTTAGAGCGTTTGTCTAGTAAGTGCTGGAGTAGTCGGAAACGTCGAGCGGTTCCTTGTCGTTTCAGTCTGGTATGAGGATTCCAAGTTAGACGTTTGTCCAAGTAAAGTCAAAGGTATCGGATTTGTTCAACAGGGATACGTGGCGTATTATTGAAGGATACTGTGGGACATGAGGTCATAGGTTTACGTCGAAGGGTAAAGGTGATTTGATGGGATTTATTAGAATTTATTTTAATCCTCCAGTTTTGACACCATTCTTCAAGGCTTGTGATGTGTGATTGAAGAGTTTGGGATGCAATGGTTGAGTCATTATTAATGGATAGGACACATGTATCATCGGCATACGTGGTAATAACAGAGTTAGGATGGATTGGGATGTCAGCTGTATAAACTGTGTAAAGGATAGGACCAAGAATACTACCTTGAGGAACTCCAGCGGACTGAGAAAAGTGGGATGAATAAGTATTATTGTGATTTACTTTGAACTATCTATCAGTTAGATATGAACGTATAAAGAGGAAGTATGTAGGATGTAGGAATTTACGGAGTTTGTAAAGTAGTCCCGGGTGCCAGACTCGATCAAAAGCCTGTTCTACATCGAGAAAGACTCCCGTTCAGTACATTCCGCGCTCTAATGCAAAGGAGACAACATCCACCACACGATGGCATTGCTGGATAGTGGAATGGGATCTACGGAATCCAAACTGGTGATCTGGGATTATGTGATTAGAATCTAGGATTGAATACAGGCGTTTTAGGATAAGTTTTCCAGGACTTTGCCCATGATGGGTAAAAGAGAGATAGGACGGTAAGAGGATGGGTATTCTGGTGGCTTTTGTGGTTTATGTATCATTTTGATAATGGATAGTTTCCAAGGGTCGGGAAAATATGTGAATCGGAGTACAGCATTATATACATTAGTAAGGAGTAGAATGGCTTTCCGAGGAAGTAGTTTTAGGATCTGGGATGTAATTAGGTCGTGTCCAGGAGCTTTGCGGGAAGGTAACCTGTGAATGATGTCGGATATTTCTGAAGGATGAAAGGCTTTAGATGGAAGAGACATTTGGAGTGGCATATCCAGTCCTGCTTCAATACATTCAAGGGTTAAAAATATCGGTGTGTGGATTAAAGGTTTTAAAGAAGTGGTGAGCAAAGATTTGTGATTTTTCTTCATCGGATTTGGACTAGGTTTGGGCTTCAGTGAGTAGTGGATGGTTGCAGTCTTTAAGTTTCAGGAGCCTTTTAGTGGTCGTCCATAGTGATTTATCAGTAAGTTCAAGTTTTTGAGTAAAATTTTGTATTTTCTAATTTCTGATTTCAGTTTGTTAGTCAATTCGGTGTAATGTGCTTTATCTGTCGGGTATCTAGTTCGATGCCACTTCGGTCTTGCTCTGCGTTTTTCCTTTAATAAGATACGAATATGCTGTGGCAAGTTAGTAGTTTGTGGGTTGTTAGTCTTATTGATAAAGGTATTATTATTTATACTGTCTGTTATTGATGCTGTCAGTTTTTCTATGACACCATTAATGTCTTCTTTTGTCTTTAGCGGAATTTTGAGGTCTAGTTTGTTTTCCAAATCATCACGAAATTTGTCCCAGTTTACTCGTTCACTGATCAGTTTAGGAGGTGATGGTTTAGGAGCAAAGTCAGAATGTATTGAAAGCAGAACTGGACTATGGTCTGAAGAAAGGCCATCCAGGTATTTGATTATAGTTTGGAAGGAGGAAATCTGGGAGGTGATAAATATATCAAAAAAACTCTTGAAACCATGCTAAGACATTTAAAATTATGTACAATGGTAAAATATACATATAAACTTTTAGAAAAAATAAAAAATACATTACATTCATCTTAGCAGTAAACTCTGTGTATCTGTTGAAAAAAGAAAAGAAAAAAGGAAGTCAAATCTGATAGTAAGTATTTAAGTGATGAGCTATATGTAAATACATCATTATGAATAATATGTAATTTTACATAAACGGTTAGCGGTTATCTGACTGTTTTGGGACAGGAATTGGAATAGGAGGGTTTTAAATTTAAATAGGGAGGAAGAATCATCAAAACGGATTTTCAGTTTCGCCTGACGAAATTACAATATTTATTCTAATCGGTAAAATTTATTTTTCGTTTATTTACCTGTGACTTTGACGAGCTTTCCTTCAAGTTCGAATGGTGTATATGGCATACAGACTGGGCCGATAAATTTGTTGAAAGTTATTCGTTGAGAAGTGACAAGGATTGATATATCATCCTTGAGTGTACCACTCTTAAAGTCCTCATGCTGATCAATCCGAGATACACCATATTTTATCATTTTCTCTTTTTCTAGAAAAAAAAAAAAGAAAAGTATCAATATAAACTGTTATATTGTCCAGTTTGTTTAAAAGGTGCATGTTTGTGTACGGAAGGATGGAACTGCCAGAATTGCTCCATTTTTTTTTTCTAAATATTTAAGAGGTACACATACTTAAAGTACTTAAGGGGTAAAGCGGACCCTACACGGTCATTCGGAATTGCATTCCGAGGCACTAATGACGTTCCGAGTTATCGTGTAAGGTAGTGAATGAAGTACTGGTTTTGGTGTGTGGCGGATTTCCGAACATTCGGAAATCAAAGGTCATTCACGAGAAGTGGAGGTGGGACTGAGGTAAAAGTAGTGGGGAGACTAACCATACTACAGGATAGGTTTGTTTACCTAGGCCTCATAACCATTATAAATTTCTGATTTTCATTATATGTTAATAGTTAAATATTTTTTCATATCCCTTGTTTATAATTTTAAACCATCTTCAACTATTTCTTTTAAATAGACAAGTGGGCAACAAATTAAAAAAAAAAAAAAAAGTTAGAAACTTCACAATTTACTTAAAGAAAAAAAAAATCTTTAACTGTTGTGTATATTTGTCAATTATTTTTCCATTTTTATTAACAAATTTATTATTTTCGTAATACTTTTTCTTAATGTTTGTAAGTACTTGACTTCTAACTTTTGTCAAAACGATTTCCAGGCACTAGGAAGTAATCATTATGTGGTGGAAGAAAAACGAATATCTTACCCTTAGAAATGTTTTTTTTTAGCTTAAAAACATCAACAGAATTTTCAGAAGGTAATAAGGTTACAAGTCAGATTAACAAAGTAGTTCAAGCTTACCCCAGTTCAAGAGTGGGATTAAATCACCACACATTATATCTCCATTTTTTCTCTTAATGTCCAATGCTATTAGGGATAACTTCCAAATAAGATTTACATGCAACCAGACAAGGCACTATAATAACCACGTTTTTCGGAATGGAATCCTGAACTCTGAACGAAATGTACCAAGCCCCCGAGTGATGAGGTGGAATAAGAATGAGATGGAGAAAAATAAAGTTCACCTTATTATTACAGTTTGAACGGATGAAGTATTGATTTTTAGTTCTATCTATTTTACGAGTGAAAACATACCTATTAAGTATATATCACTACTATTAGTGCAAAAGGTCGTATGTAAAAATTTTCAACTTTTATTCTATTTGTGCTAAAGGTGACATTTTGTAGTCTGCAACTGATATAAGTAGTCTGATCCTATGAAAAATAGCTGATGACAATAAAATATGAAATTATATTAATAAAGCATAAAGAAATAATGAGTGTTTATATTCTGTAAATCAATCAATTTATACATACGATCTTTTGCATTACCAGTAGTGAAATGCATGTTCCGTATGCATTGGTATTTTTTTAAAATTAAGAATAATCAAATATGGAATCTTCAAATACGGCACTTTTTCCCATTTTTACTGGGTTTTAGCTGTTTAACGAAATTCTTGGATATCAAACCCGGAAATGTTGAAGGGCAGCTGTATTTCCGAATCAGCTTCTCCCAGAGATTTTATTCTCATACGAAATATTGTATACCTTGTAATATTTTAATGGCATGCCTTAAGTCACTATGTGTAAGACATTGGAAAGAAGCTGCTGAGGATCGGTCTGATTGGAGAAAAATAGTTGGGGGAGGGGAGACGAGTAAAGGTCATTCATGGGCCTTAGCGCTAAAATAAAAAATAAAAAAATTGTCCAAAGATTAAAAATATTGTAGTGCACAAAACAAAAGAGTTAATTTATGTCTTAGTGAATGCGCATTAAGGCAGTGTAAAGAGAGAGAGAGAGAGAGACAGATGTTTTTAGGAGATTGAAGGGAACAGTGATTGGAAAAGGTGAAGAGACCTCCCTGCGTTGGAGGAAACGATAGTTCTCTCTTCTCTCTCTATCTCTGTAACTGCTGGAAGAAGTTATTCAGATTTAAATTATTTAGTAAATTTTATATCAGCTTTAGGTTAGTCCGTAAGTTTTTGTTGTTTAGTTATAAATAGTTAAGTTTAGATTACTCCTTAGATTAAGTTTTATTAAGTATCTATAGTCTATTGTTTATTTCGAAATTTCATTGGGCTTTTTATAGTCTGTTCGTCTAAATTGTATACATCAATAATAAATGTTTTGATTTTGATTATCTATATATATAAAAATGAATGTATGTCTGTCTGTCTGTCTGTTTGTCCTTAGTGCATTACTAAACCATTCAACCGATCGCCATGAAACTTTGGGAAGTTGTTCCGTACACTTCTGGGAAGGTTTCTGGCATAGTACTTCTGTCTTACGATAATTTTATATATGTAAAAGAAATAAAAATGTAAATGTTTTTCTGTTCAAAGCCGCAAAAAATGTGTCGCTATAAACTGTAGTGCCAAAAACGCTTTACCGATTTTAACGAAACTTGGCTAAAGTCTTCCTCTTGAAACCCTTTTAATTTATGTGTATAACATACTTTCCCGAAAACAAGCTGAAAAATGTTACGATGAATTCAATATTTTATTTGCCGATGACTAAAAAAGTACACAATTTTTGACTGATAATACCCACATTTATTTGAAAGATTCCTGATTTGCCGACAAAATAAAAAAGATGTCATCGAAATAGATAAGCATTATCTCCGAATTAAAACTATCCCTAGCGGCCGTAGGAGTAAAGTGGGTTAAATTATTTTTTTAAGGAAAAAAAAAGTTGAGATTTGTATTTCGCACCTCGATAAACCCTCAATTAACAATTTTCACTGGAATCGAAAAATAATTTTTTTTGTCTCAAATTTTCGTCAAGGGTGGGACCTTCAATTTTTTTACAATTTTTGACTGATAATACCCATATTTATACAAAATATTTCTTAATTGCTGACAAAATAAAAAAAAAAATCATCGAAATCGGACGGTTCGTTGCAGTTATTGAGTTTTAAACATTTGCTGCTTTCTCTTCAGAAAAGGCCGTTTCCTTTTGCTTCCTCACTACCGAACGTCGGCAAGCATTTTTTTTTTTTTTTTATTGATTAAAAGAAAATTTTATAATTACTACAGTAATTGAAATTATCATTTGAAGAAGTTATATGATTCTCCTTATGTAGGTCAATACTATTATACGTTTTTTAAATTAATTTTTTTATTTAGTTTTATAAGTTCAGCTCAGACTGTTTCTGATGATTATGAATGACGGCGTATTTACTCAGATGATTATGAATGTTCAATTTGAATCATGAGAAAAAAATCAATTATAATTAGTTTCAATTGAACCCATTTTACTGACAAATTTGTTTCCCAACTTTTTAAAAATGAGAGATGTCCTTTGCTACTTATCTACTCATATGTGCTTTCTATTTTCTTTCTTTTGCATTTTGCCAGGCTAAGCCACAGCAATGCGTGGCCGGGTAAAGCTAGTTTATTAATAAAACATATGATAGGTTGATAAAGTGGATACGTGAGGTTTTCACATGGTTGTCTATTTAAGCTCGCGTTTATGGACGTTAAGACGACCATTATTACAATATTAAGACCAAAATTATTGAAATATCTAGATTTTTTCGATATTTGCATCTCTACTCTAGATCGATTCTGACAGCCCAGTTTCGTTTCCGTCTGAATATAATTTTATATTTTAACGCTTGTACTTACTCTCCTTATTTCTGAAACCCATTCCAACATAAACTTGGATGTCCTCGGGCTCCTTTTTATCAGTGCAATGCGCCGCCGTGAGGACGTGATATTCGGTGATGATCGATCCACCGCATCCGTTGCTCAGGTGCACCATCCAAGGATACTCGTTCTTATTGGTCGACTTTCCGTTGATGATCTTTTTCTAGAATAAAACTATGTCAGTATAAACTATGAAGAATTAAACCAAGGTGAAAAGCGTTCTAGACGCGAAGTTACCATGTTACTCCTTCCACAGTCGCAGTTAAGATTTTGGTTTGTGACCCAGGAAACGCTGATTAATATCAAACATACTAACACCTTCATTTATACCTATTGATATGAAAAGATACAATTAAGCAGATTATCAAGACACGGTTATACATTTTATATACTCATATTAAATATATTTATATATTTTTTTTCTTGACTATTGAGGAGTGAATTTGGAAGAGAAATTGCTACCGGGATAGGCAAGGTATTGGACCTATCAGAGGAAAGACAATGTTAGGATGATGGAAAAGTAGTAAGGATGGAAGTTGGGAACCTGAAGCACTGGCTGAAGTAGACCTTGAAGTGAGCCTGGATGGAAACGAGGAAAATACAAAAGAGAGGAAAAACAGCGATTAGCTTCCAGAGCAGGCAGGACGAACGAAGTCTATCCCAGTGCTGACGGTTTAGTGTGGTATCTCTGAGAATTATAATAATAATAATAATAACCTTTATTTGTACTTACATTGCAAAAAAACAATGGATAAAAAATAGATATGTACACAATCAACATTTTAGTTGAGGTTTTCTTGCACGACACTAGGTAATGAACCTGTCCGATCAGTTTCCGCTCTTGCCTCTCCAATGCTACACTCTTCCAGGCTGCTCCCCCGCAGGCCTTCCTTATCTCCTAGTCCCAGTCTGTTGGCGGGCGTTCTCTCCTCCTCATGTGATCTCTTGTGGTGAGGGATAACAATCCATAAACTGCCTGATCCATGTTAATTCATTCCTCCTGATTACATGTCCGGTCCAGGTCCACTTCCTGATGTTCACTTTTTCCACAATATCTGCAAGATCAGTCTTAGCTCTGATCCATTTATTCTCTTTTCTATCCCTTAATGTGATTCCGAGAAGATATCGCTCCATTCCTCTGACGGTTATCCTCAATTTGTGACAAGTCTTCTGGTTAATTACCCATGTTTCAGAACCTTATGCCATGACAGGAAGTACTGTGCTCATCCAAAGTTTTCTCTTGACCTCTGAGCTCACTGAGGATCTGTATATATCCTTAATTTTGAAGAATTCGCGCCATCCCTGGGTACATCGTTTGATTATTTCTTCAGTTTGTTATTTAATTGAGATAAAGTGCCCAAGATATAGAAATGTTTCTACTTTTTCTATGTGGTGTTCGCCTATTTTTATATCTCCATCAACATTCACTGATATATACTTGTATTTTTTATAATTTATTTTATTAATTTATTTGCCATCGTTAGGATTTCTTCTTTATTTTTACGTATTAGGACTTGATCATCCGCAAACTCTAAATGGTTCAGGCACTCTCCAAAAATTTTCTTTCCTTTGTTCTGCGAATTCATAGTTTGCATCAAATTCTTGGAGAACTAATATATATATTTTAGGAGAAGAGGTATCACCTTGTCGTACACCTTTACAAATTTTTATTTTTACTGTTGTACTTCCTGATTTATATTCTGCATTGGATCTCGAATACATATCTTCCAGTATCTTGCATATTCTTGAACTAATGTTCCATTTTTTCAACATATTTATAATACAATCGGTTTTTAGGGAGTCAACTGCTTTTTCGTAATCCAGAAAAAGGAGGCTCACTGACAGATTATGATCATTAGCTTTCTTAATTAACTCTTTAATCGCAAATATGTGGTCTACAGTAGAGTAATTCTTCCTAAACCCTGCTTGATATTTTTCTAGTTCTATATCCAATTTGTCCTATGTTCTTCTAAGTAGGATTTTAGAAAATATTTTACATAAAACTGAGAGTAGGCTTAATGGGCGATAATTATTTAAATCTCTCTTATCTCCTTTCTTTGGCAGAATTATGAGTTTTGCAGTTTCCCATTCTTAAGGACAGCTTGCATTCTTAACTGAGAATTATATGTGATTTTCTAATTAACCCGAACTTACTATTTTAGTTATCGAACGAACAAAAACACAATTTAAATATTATATACAAGCTATCAACTTCCCAAAGAATCCACTGATAGATACTCAGGTACATTCGGCCCCTTATGGTGGAACTGCAGCCCCGCCGAGAGAAGGAGGCCTACAATTTTTTTTTTTTAACGTTTATATAACGTCCATATTCAGGTTGACATTATATGTACTTAATAATAATTATGGTGAGAGAGAAATAGACTGTCAATGGCCGCTTCAAAGACCCAGACGAATCTCATATAGAAAAAAACAGGTAGATCTGCTAGGGATTAAATTTTCAGTTTCTGCTCAATGCTGGATTCTTTTCGATAAGATAAGGATGAAAAGTTTAGTGATGTTTTTATTGAAAAATAAAACATTTTGCCACACTTAAGGGCACTGAGTACTACTGCTGAGTGAGGCACATTCATACCATTTATACAATACAATAAAAAAAAAAAATCTGGTGTGTCCACTCACAGGACTTTCCTACCTTTTTCAGAAGTCTTTATATCTTTACATATGTCCTTAAAGAAACAAAAACAAATTGAAAATTGATCAAAGAAAAGATTCAAGTATGATTTATTTGATAAACTAAAGCATGTAAACTGGCTTATGGTAGATCAGTGTAAAAATGTCAATACCCTCTAGTATTGCTGATCAAAAACTTTTTGACATAGCCTAATTTTGCCAAACAATAATTTCTGTTAAAAAAGGAGAAGAAATAGTGATGCTGGCAACAGATTTTATTAAATTCATTTAGTTATCTTTTTTCTCTCATTCAACCCTTTCTGACACCAGGATATGAACCCGTAATCTTACATTGAAAATTGAATAGCTGTAACTTCGTTGATAGTTGTCCGAAATGAACGATTTTTATATAGTTTTGTAGTTGTATATAATAATAATTGTAGGACAATTATTAGAACATTATAGGAAAATTTCATTAAAATCGTTAGAGCCGTTTTCGCTCTACAGTCTATAAAAAAACATGTTTTTCAATTATTGCGAAGCAGCTATTGCGCATGAAACATCCAATTTGTGTCCCAGGCATCAGTAGTCAAAACCCTACGAAATCAAGAAAGAAGCAACAAAATCGGTTCACTAGTTTCCTAGAAAATTTTGGCGCAGACAGACAGACCAATGGCTAAAAACATGTTTTTCGGACTCATAGGGCTCTGAAACGTACAGATCCGCATATCGAAAATTTGATCCGATCCCCATACTTTCCTTACGTAGTATAGGTAGGAAAGTAATAAATAAGAATAAAAAAAAAAAATATCTATATGACAAAGGCAAAAACTATAATTAAACCAAAGAAATGTAACTTGGAGTTAAAATTGAATAAAATACAGAAAGTCATAGAAAAAAAAAAAGTGAAGTGAAGGACAATCGGTAATAATCTGTCCGAAAAGTTTGAGATTCGTTCGAGTTTAAAATAGGAGGATTCCCTTTCGCCTGTCCTGTTCAATTTGGCATTAGAACATGCCATTAGGGAGGTAATACGTACCGAGAAAGGGTTGGATCAACACCCGTGCTGGGCCATGCGGATGATCTGGTACTGTTAAGCGAAGACGTTGAAACTATAAAACTAATTCGACAACGTTAATCAATGCCAGTAAAGAACTAGGACTCGAAACAAACGTGGATAAAACAAAATATATGGTTAGCTGCAAAATTGGCGATATTACTGGTGATATTGATATAGATGGTAATATGTTTGAACAGGTAGAGAAGTTGCAAGTATCTAGGGTCTACGATAACGAGAAAAAAACGAAATTGGAGAAGAGATTAAGGTTAGACTGAAGGCGGGAAATGCTTCTTATTTTTCTGTGACAAAACTACTTAGCTCGCGCCTCTTGCTCCGGAACTTAAAGATTAGAATCTATAAAATCATTGTCTTACCTACAGTTCTTTATGGTTGCGAAGCGTGGCAGTTTACATTAAGCGATGAGCAACGTCTTAAGGTTTTTGAAAAAAAAGTATTGCGTAGAATATTCGGACAGAAGAAGGATGAATTAACCGGAGAGTTCAGACGGTTACACAACGCCGAATTGCGTGAACTTTATCCGGGTAATATAATTGAGGTTATTTTATCCTGGCGAATCAAATGGTCTGATATAATTGTTGGACCGTGGTAACGAGAGAATTCCTAAAAGATTAATAATGAATATTTAATAGTTGATCGTTGCATTATGAAGGAAGGAACTTCAGTTCCAAGTGAAACTGCTTGCTGAACACACCTCCCTGAAGAAGACCTGCAAAGTCGGGTCTTTTAATAAAATAGTTTTACCGCTATTTAGCCTATTTATGACCGCCATCCCGGACCATCTCCTTCCTGAAATGTTAATATTTACTGTACCGAATGATAAACGTCCGAGGAGTAGACCGAAGCGAAGGTGGGAAGATTGCATTAATGCCGATCTGAAGGGACTAGGTTTGGACGGCGAACGGTGGAGGGAGGTGAATAATAAGCGATTGGTGGTGTCGGCATCGAATCCTCGGGTTCGCTAAGCCTTATTATTTATTTATAAACTGAAGGACAAGGTGATGCTCTAAGAGATCCCAGCGCTTCTTACTCAGCCGCGTCGCCGGCATTATAGTCCAGTGGAGACTGAGTGAGGACACTAAAGCCACAGACGCTCATGACTTAAGTGGAGAAGCTGGCTATTCCCAGAATTTCAGTGACGTCTTTACGAAAGATCTCGAGACCACTGCCGTTTCAACTTTCGAGGAGGATTGTAGGGATGAGGATTGTGCATAAGAATTAGGATGGTGAATTAGGCTCAGGTGAACATTTTAGAATCGGGATGGAATAATGTCAAGGACTTGAGGGGTGTAAATGCCCTGATGTAAGGTTTTGTTTTTAACATAATAAGGAGCATTTAATATTATACGGAAGATTTTAGACTGAAAGGATTGGATGCGTTTGATGGTGGAAAATTTAGTTGTCCCCCACAGTTCAAATCCGTAGATCCAGAGGAGCTTCAGCATGGTCTTGTATATTAATAGTTTTTTTTCAATTAAGATATTCAATTAGATTTTCTGTTAAGTAGTCTTCATAACTGGCCAAATAGTCGGTTAAGTTCTTTTTTTTTTAAGTCTGGTATGTGGGTTCCACAATAATAGTTTAAGACTCATCATAAAATGTCCATTCGACCATGATGAGAAAAGGTCCAGATGGATATAACGCTCTTGTAACTGTACACATCCAGACTTTTGAGGTTTTGTTATATATTATTTCTAAAAGTTTTTTTTTCGGTACTCCATAACTTCGTCAATTCTTCATCAAATCCTATGATTGACCTCTCGTTTTGAAGATATTCTTCTCTTTCACATGCGAAAAATAGTCCTATCACTTCGAAATTTCCTGGAAAAAAAGTAATGAAAGAAAAGAAACTTTATTTGCGAATAACTCAAAAAGTATGCATTCGTTCTGGATTGTATCCATAATAATTAGAAAGAATACTAAATTACCTAAAAAAAAAAATGGTAAAAATCGGATAATTATTAACAAAGATACATTCCATTAGTTTTGGTATACTTAATAATTTATTTTGATATAAAGATATTGCATTTAGGAATAGCTACTACATTTTTTTCCTGGCTGATATATTAACTTTATTATTTCTTAAAGACATTTGGTGGTTCTTATATTTTATTTTTTTTTATAATTTAGAATATCCCATGATCGGGGCATTATTTTGTCTATATTACTTTTATTATCTTTCAAGTCAATGTTTAAAAACAGGTCCTAGCAAAGCAATTTGTACACCCCATATAACAGAAACGGCTCGTTCGATTTTGAAGCAAGGTGAGAATTATTAAAAGTAGTGTTAGTAGTAGGGAGTGGTGTATCTCAGTGGTAGGGTACTGAGCTTCCAATGCTAAAGATCCCAGGTTCGAACCCCGGCTCATGGCAGAAAATTTATTTATCTGTTTCATTGCCGTGGGGTATTCCTGGGTCAGGAGACCCTCTTGGGGCACACCCAGCCTCTATAAAGTGGGTACCCTTAATTAAATAATTGATTAAGGGCTAAAACCTGGCGGTTGAGCGTGATATCGGTCAAATCAACTCCTTGCACAACCGTTGATCTAGAAACAGTGCTTTCCATAAATAGTACTGAACCCAAAACGCTTCATGGGTTGTACAATATTTTGGTTTATTATGTTTAATGTAATATTGTAATCGACCAAGGAAAAAATATTAATTCCTTCCTTACATAATACATAAGAACTACTTATTTCCATATTGTTTTGCTATTTCTTCACTAAACAAAATTTTCTGCGATTTTTTCGGAGGAACTATAACTAGTAATGTATAATGTTTCTGATGATTTGTAAGTGTCTAAATCAGGCTTTACAAACATTTAAATTTTTTTTATAAATGTATAAAAAGTTCCAAAGAAAAAGGTGTTGCAAATCATGCCTACATTGTGTTTAAAGCATAGAAATTAAATTTATTGCGAAATATGATAAGTAGATAAATATATAGGCAAGTACTGAAAAAAATATATGTACCACTGCCAAAAAAATCAGAAATAAATTAAAACTTCTCACTGATGCTTGTAATTCCATGATATGAATATAAGCAGTAGGTTTTTTTTTTTTTTTTTCTCATTCAGCAGTAATTCATTTATTAACAACCATATGACGTAGAAAAAAAAAAACCCTGCGTAATACGGTAAAGATATTTCTAGATTAACACAATAAGTTTTAAAACTATTATAAAATAAAAAGTATAGATCGTAGGAAGATTATAAACTTTTTTCGTACTCCCAGTCATCTAAGAATTAAGAAAATATTGAAAATACTGTTCTTTTTTTATTTTGTATGTTTGTTATAACGGTTGAGGTATTAATGAACCTGAAATCCTGCTATTTCTAGAATTATATCTGCAAAAATGAAGGAATAAGAAAAATAAATAAATTTAAACTGAAAATTGACATTTCCATAACTTTGAAACTAAGAAACAATTTTTTAACTATAATAAATGGTCAGTATATTTTCTATTTTCAAATTTTACTTTTGAGGTTTTTTTTTACCTTTTCCCCACCTGCGGCGCAATATAGTGCATTATTCGGAACTTACCTTCCAAGAAACGGTTACTACTGTGGGCCACACGTTGAAAATTAAATTCTGAGCCTTGATAAAAGAAAGAGGATATTGTTTGGTTGTTTCTGTTTCAAGGCGTAAACCCTTAAGGATATTATATTCTCTTCTAAAATAGGCAAATAACTAAATCATTTACGCGCCTCATAAATTTAATGATACATTCAATATTTACACGCTTCACAAATTTAATAACTCATTAAATATAAACTGGCTTTCCTATTAAATAAAACATTAACTAGTTGACTCATGCGAATAATTCGCAGAAAATTTTGTTTAGTGAAGAAATAAAAAACAATATGAAAATTAGTAGATCCTATGTATTATGTTAGGAAGGAATTAATATTTTTTCCTTGGTCGATTACAATATTTAACGTAATAGACTAACATATTTGTACAATTTGCTTTGTTAGGATCTATTTTTAAACACTGACTGGAAAGATAATAAAGACAAAATAAAGCCTCCTTTATGGGATTTTCGAAATTATTTAAAAAAAATAAAATTTAAGTACAAATGAATAGTAGAGCCTTTAAGAAATAATAGAGTTAGTATATCAGCCAGGAAAAAAAATTAGTAGAATAGTAAGTGCAATATACACTGACCCACTTAATAATTAAATTAAATTCCACCCACTTGATTTTTTCATCTAAAAATATTTCTGCTTTGGAGTGGTCTATTGTTTTTAATGAATAAATGGGTAATCTTTTTGTTTGTTTTCAATTAGGAAAGTAAATGTAGAGGACAATAACCCTTAATCCTTAATTCAATGAAATGATTCTAGATTCCAATGTTTACTTTCTATGGAATCAAAATGTTTATTCAGTTTCATTAGTTCAGTGCCGTTTCTTGCTGCACATTTCTTAGTCTCCGGCTTTTAATTTTTTCATTGTTAAGTTTAAAAATTCCTCTTAGTGCTGAGGATGTTGCGCGTGGTCTGGCACTTATTGATGATGATATTCCATTAGATATGCAGCTAATGCCATTGGAGTTCCATATGAAACTTTACGAGACACCGTCAGGCGTTTTCGGGAAACTGGTTTTTACAATAGAAAGCCCGGTTCTGGACGGCCTAGGGTAACAGAACCACGGGATGACCGGTTTGTTACTTTGAGAATTTTACGAAACCGGCATCTTACCGTTGTTCAAGCGATTCATCAGCTCGAAGAAGTTGGAGGTGTGCTAATTTCTGAACGTACCGCTCGGAGAAGATTAAATGAGTATGGATTAATGGCTTTCCGTCCAGTAAGAGGACCAGAGTTGACCAGATGAGTCAAGATTCTCTTCGATCTCCAGACGGGCGTGAAAGAGTGTGGAGAAGAAGAAACGAACGATATGCAGCCTGTAATTTTTCCCAGAGCCAACCTTCCCAACATGATTCCTTAATGGTGTGGGCTGGGATTTCAATGGAGCGCCGCACAGAATTGGTTGTTGTTCGTGGAGGGTCTTTGACGGCCATTCGCTATGTAGATGATATTTTGGAACCTCATGTGTTGCCTATCCTCAACGAAATCGGCGATCGTTCTATTCTAATGCACGATAATGCACGCCCACATAGTGCAGACGTTCCTTCAACAGAACAATATTCCCAGATTTAAACCCCATTGAGCATTTATGGGATAACCTCGGAAGACGAATAAGAGCGCGTGCAACACTTCCTGATACACTGCAGGACCTTGAAAGGGCTCTTCGGGAGGAATGGGCTATCCTCCAGCAAAGGGACATTTCCCGACTGGTGGAAAGTATGTCGAGGCGTCTTCAAGAAGTAGTGAAGGCAAAAGGAGGAAACACGCCCTACTAAACGATGATGTAATTAATTTATTTTAGAATAATAATGGTTCGTTTTTCAATTTTTTTTTCTCTAATCTTTCTTACCCAATCACATTTTGATTATTAAAGGTAAAAAAGATTATAAAATTCCATAAATACTAAGTATTATCTACAAATACCATGTATTAAAAGCAAATACAACCTTTTTTACAAGCGATTGGAATTTTTTGCCTGTCAGTGTATTTAAAGAGAAATAAATTATTAAGTATACCGAAACTAATGTACTGAAGTTTTTTAAATAATTGTCTGATTTTTACAATTTTGTTTGTTTTGTAGGTATTTTAGTAATATTTCTAATTATCGTGAGTACAATCAAGAAAAAATGCATACTTTTGGGGTTATTTTCGAATAAACTGTTTTTCCAGAAATTTCGGGAGAATTTTTCGCGTGTGAAGGAAATGAGTGGTCAACCATTGGCATTGATGAAGAATAGAAAAAGTTATGGCGTACTGTCAAAAAAACGCCTTTTAGAAATAATATATAGGATTGGTACAAAATTATATTTTGCATTGCATAAATGAATGAATAGAAGTAAACTTTCTAAAGAAGTTATATAAAATACTGTATAACGTAACAGTATCTTTTATTGAATTATCCAACGTTTTGACCTAGGTTATAATTTTGTTTCAGGCCTAAATAGATGCAAACAATATATTTTAATTGTTACAGGATACAATAAATAAAATATCTGTTGATATTGAAGAAGTTAACTGATATTGTAAAATTACAGTATGGTTGGAAATATATTGTATTATATATATAATTGGCTAGACTAGATTATATATTATCTGTGTAATGTATTTATCAATCTGATGAAAAATAACAAACAGTATCTAGCATGTAAGAATGGACAGCTGATCGATCAGCTGGTGCGCAAGGTTGTGTTTCCAACTCAGCACTCAGAATTTACTGCTTTTTGAAAAGAATACCTGTTATTATTCAGTTAAAACAGGTGAAGGATACACCAAAAGAGTTGATATTTAATGTGTACAGTGGTAAACATTTTTTTTTTAAATATTACCATGGTCATCAATAATAGAGTGGCTAGAAAGATAACTAGGTCGTTAGGCTCGACTACTCTATCTTCTCCTGTTATACAATAGCCTCAGAAATCTCGCCAAATAGCTCCCATGACATCCGTTAGTTCTGAAGAACCTGAAACTCAGTCAGGTACATCACCACAAGAGACAATTGAAGAACCTCAGCCTCAATCTCAAATCCTAACAGGTGCTTCAAAATAACAGAGAGGTAATGGAGTCTTCACCAATACTGAGAACTCCTCGACCTATTCATGTCCAAACAGAACAAATGACACCAATATATCACTAAATATAGCCTATAGAAAAATTGTGAAGTATCTAACACTGAACAAAGCTGATTTTCACCAAGTATCAATTGCGAGCTTTAGGAGTAACTATAAGAAACGTACACCAACCGAAACAAAATAAAATAACTGAAAACCTTAGGTTTCAATGTGCGCCAGGTTATAAATATTCTAAAGGAGAGTAAGGAACAGTCACGAGTAAAAGTTCCTCTGATCCTATTTTTTATAGACTAGGAAATGGCTCGAGGGATCAAAACCCAAACAAGAGCCTCCAGTTTCTGCTTTGTTCCTTGAAGGACATCCTGTGAACTACAAAGGCTTCCGGATATAGAAGAGTATTAAATCCAGTTACCAGAATTCCCAGCACCAAGTAGAAACTGAATTATCCAGATCAAGAAGAGAATCTTCCAAAGACCCGATGGTGTCTTTTGCACTTCTACTTGGGGGTGGAATCAGCTGATGCGAAGGTTGTGTTCTCAACTCGTCTCTCAGTTTTTGCCTACTTTTCAGCGGAATCTTACTGATTATTCACTGTATACAGTTCAAGTGTACGTCAGATCAGTTGATATTTACTGTTTGATATATACTTTTTTAATTTTTAATTTTTTTCCCCTTTTCTTCTCTTATGATATGCGGCATTGTCACCAAGTGATGTCCAGTAAGGTGCCCACTAAGAGGACTCGGTTAGAAGGCTTTAGTACCCCTCGAGATTCACCAGCCAAACTAAGAACTCGTCGCTGCCTACGAGAAATCGCAACAATAACCACAGTGAACACTTCAGATCCAGAACCTCAGCCTCAACCAGGTACGTCTTCGCAAGAAATGGTTGGAGAATCCCCTTTTTTTACTCCGAACCCCTTCCAAGTGCTTCATAATGACAGAGAAGTAATGGAGTGAGCAGCAATACCCAGAGAACCAAGGCCTCCTCCGATATTTGTAAAAAATATAAAAACAATTCCTGCTATTGTGAGCACAACTAAACGAAATCTGCTCCGGCAGTTACTCTTGTCTCAACAGGAGCAACGATACAAAAATAACACCAGATACTGCAGGATCCTACCGAAAAATAGTGAAGTACCTGTCAGAAACGAATGCAAATTTCCATAAGTACTAGCTGAAACAGGAGAGGTGATAAGAAATTTACACTCTTCAACCAAAACTGAAGTGATAAAAAAAGAACTAACGACGCTTGGTTTCAAATTACGTCAGGTAACCAACGTTCTGAAGGAGAATAAGGAGCAGCCGGGAGTAAAAAATAAAGTTCCACTACCTTTATTTTTCGTGGACCTAGAGCCATCACCTGTTATTGAGAAAATATATGAAAGCAAGAGATTGTACTACACTATCGTGAAGATCGGGAAGTCATATCCCAAGACGGAAATTGTGCAGTGCCACCACTTACCGCTTTGCGTGAAATGTGGTGATCAACATAAATCAGCAGAGTGCACCAAACCTATACAAGATACTGCAGTGTGTGCACTATGCCTGGAGGGACACCCGGGCAACTACAAAGGCTGCCAAACTTATAAGAACCTCAAATCCAGATATCAGAAGAATCTGATTCAAGATGAGACAACCTGACCAAGAAGAGAACCTTTTAGAATTGTTAGTAATAATATATCATACTACTTGGAGGTAAGAACCCAACTAATAAATGTGAAGCCCTGCCGCAGCTTCTACCTCAACCCCAACCTCAATATTCAGCCTAACACCTAACCATCAACAACCTCATATTCCTCCTTCTTCAAATGCCACAGATCTCACCAGTTTGTTATCATCATTCCTTATTGAATTTAAATCAATTGTTACCCCACTCATATCACTCCTAACAAATCTCGCTTACAGAAACTCGACTGACCATAAAACAGCATTTAAAAATTCCACAGTTGAGCACATGCTGGTACTGCTGTCATCGTACACCATTCTCCCTCCCATCACTTACTCCCATTACCTACTCATGATT